ACAAATGTTCTCGATTGAACGAAATTGCAGAGTAAACATTTTAATTGTTGAACACGTGTAATCAGAAGTGATGACACTAATTAACCCAAGATTGTTTGATCAACAGATTAACGGTCACCAAAGGTGTGAATTGGACCATAACTTGTCCCTTAAGGAAAACGGTAACTTTAAAAAAGCAACAAATGGAATTAGAATTTTCTTGAGAATTAAAAGGTTAACAGTCGTACAGTTTAGGTTTTTTAAAGATTTGATGGACAGAATTCTGTCTGAAGTTGCATCTTTAGTTCATAGTGCGTTTGCTGATATTCGATGTAGTCAAACCTACATCATTGGGGATCTTTCCATGTCCTGATTTGGACAACAGCTTTTATATTTAGTTGGACACTTATATTCGTGGATAAAGCCATCCACAAAAACCACGAAAATTGGTACCCCACGAATAAAAGTACTTTCACAGTACTTTATGAATCAAGAAACTAAGTGTGCACAAATCTTTCAGTTCAAACTCCTAAATGTTAAAATACTGTTGATGGAAGATATCTTGAATGTGATCAAATGCTAATATTACATAAATAGGGAGTATTTGAGGAGGGAGGTCAAATCTTAAGGAAGGGAGAGCTAACTAATTACATATTTTGTCCATCAGGAAGTTAAACATCACAAATTGCAGAACATTTTCCAGGTAACCCTTACCATACAGGGGCCCTGATATTATGGCATCGACCCAGAATACTGTATTTTGGCTCCAATGGCTCTCCATACTTTAGAGGTCAACTATATGGTATGTATTTCAAAGTTGATGCATGTTCCCTCAACCTTAGGCTATTCATTGTCATGTTTATCAGGTTTAAGGCGCAGTTTGAGCCCAAATACAAACCTTGTAAATTAAAAGCAGATAAAAGTGTTTTTTTTTCTGAAGTGGTAGGCTTCCCTTCGGTGTCTGGGTCACACATTACCTAGACATAAAACTTCAAAAAATAGTGTCAACCCATGGGCATATAACTACTCCATGTTTATTTTTGAAATAGGCTTACCGGTTGCAAGTCCAGGTGAAGCCAATAATCGCGAAAAATCGGCAAATTCTTCTTCTTTTTTTTTTTTCACAACATTATAATTTTATTCATCAAACATTGCTTGTTACAAAAACCATCAAGATTCCAAGCTTCTCTTGACATATCCTGTTACACTCCACTGACTACCCAGGGAATAATCAGCTGATTTATTGACATATACATTTTGTTTAGATACATTTAACACTAGAATAACAATACTACAAAATTATTCATTGATTATGTTTCTTTTAACTGTTAGTACATTAGATTTATTATCTTATGTCCATTAATATTGGTGTCTACTCTCTTAGTGTATTCATTGACAAAAATTCTGCAGACGTCTATGTTTTTTGTTTTCTGCTCAGATACATAGTATGACTTATATATTGAACAAGAGTGCACACGCTGAAATGTCTCGCCTTCTTTACTAACCATTGGTTTTATGTTGATAGTCCTAAATACAAAGCTTTACTACGAGTAACACATAAACTTAACATGATCCAAGAAAATGAGGCCAAGGTCAGATAGACCAAACGAGTAATACATGTACACCTTACAATCATTCAATAAACCAAACATAGTTGACCTATTGCTTATTGTTTCTAAGAAACAGTCTTAAACAAGAAAACTTAACATTGACCAATGAACCATGAAAATGAGGTCAAGGTCAGATGAACCATGCCAGACAGACATGTACACCTTACAATCAATCTATGCATTAAATATAGTTGACCTATTGCTTATAGTATCTAAGAAACAAACTTAACCATGAAAACTTAACATTGACCAATGAACCATGAAAATGAAGTCAAGGTCAGATGATACCTGCCAGACAGACATATACACCTTACAATCATTCCATACATCAAATATAGTTGATCTATTGCTTATAGTTGAAGAAGAAAAACAGACCAAAACATAAAAAACTTAACACTGAGAAATGAACTGTGAAAATGAGGTCAAGGTCAAATAAAACCTGTGAGACTGACATGTACATCATAAAATATTTCCATACACCATTTATAGTTGACCTATTGCATAAAGTATTAGAAAAAAAGACCAAAACTCAAAAACTTAACTTTTTTTTGACCACTGAACCATGAAAATGAGGTCAAGGTCAGATGACACCTACCAGCTGGACATGTACACCTTACAATCATTCCATATACCAAATACAGTAGACCTACTGCTTATAGTATCTGATATATGGACTTGACCAAGAAAACTTAACCTTGTTCACTGATCCATGAAATGAGGTCGAGGTCAAATGAAAATTGTCTGACGGGCATGAGGACCTTGCAAGGTACGCACATACTAAATATAGTTATCCTATTACTCATAATAAGAAAGAAATTAACATTACAAAAAATGTTGACTTTTTTTTCAAGTAATCACTGAACCATGAAAATGAGGTCAAGGACATTGGACATATGACAGACGGAAACTTCGTAACATAAGGCATCTATATACAAAGTATGACGCATCCAGGTCTTCTAGCTTCTAAAATATAAAGCTCTTAAGAAGTTAGCTAACGCCGCCGCCGCCGGATCACTATCCCTATGTCGAGCTTTCTGTGACAAAAGTCGCAGGCTCAACAAAAACTAAGTATTGTAATTTAAAAATTTATTGAGTAATACTTGTTGTCTGTAATTTTGTATCCAAATATTAGGTGTTGTAGTTTTATTACAAAATCTATATTACTTCTTTTTTAAGAGATAGTATATTTGTTGCCAAAATCTTGACAAATAAGAACAATTAAAAAAATAATGAGCATAGTCTTCCTCTAGGTTACAAAAATTACACATATTATTGTTAGTTATTTTCCATTGTAATAAAAGCTTTTTTGTTGGTACAATAAACTAGTAATCCGCAAATTCTTGATTTTGGATGGAAATGACATTCTTTAGACTACCATACTTATATCAGGTTCATCCCAAAATCAGCACTTTTGGGGTCAATGTGTTCACTGGGGTCCACATTACATGTAGATCAACTACAGAGAGACACATCTATCAGTATCTATCGGCCTTCCAGGTCAAGAAATTGGACAAAAAATTGTCACTTTTTTGCACCTGATGACCAACTTTGGGGCAGCATAGCACTAACCATTTGAGCACAACTAATAAAACATAATCTAGCCATCTGAAACATGAATATTTCTAAATATGGCTTTAATCAAACATTGCCCTGACTATAATTCATTTCTTGAGTACCGAAACCTTGAATACTAATGCCGCTGGAGGAATTCGCCCATAAAACTTTTCATTTCAATACAAACAAATTAAACAAAGAATGATTTGTTTCATTCGGAAATAAATTAAGTGTAATGAAATATGCTTCTGTCAATTTCTCCAGGCAACAAATTTATATCTGAAATTTATTGCATTTTCTGTTTGAAAAATTAGTAACAATAAATAAAACTGAAAACAGATCAACTATTGTAATATAAAATATAGCTTTTGGTGAAATTACTCAACATCCAAGTTACAGCATGTTTAATGTTTCTTTTGATCAGAAGAATATAAATAACATACTTAACGTTAAAATCTATGGTACTTTAAAATATTACTTTTTAATGACATCAGTTTAAAAAAATATATACCTAAACTTATCTGTAATACATTGAAATTGTGCAAGGCACCAAGAATATATTACAAGACAAAAAAATAGATAAAATGGAGCTTCAATAGTACAGGATAGGTAGCTTAACTTGATGAGTGTCTAATGAATCCATTGGAGTAAATCCAGAAAGTGTCACTGACTTCAAATAAAACTCTAAAATCTGCCACCCTCTGAGTGAAGTTTCTATGATGCTATGATCCTATCACATTATTTCTAAGGACAATATCATATTTTGCTTTCACCTGATTCATTGAGCAAATTATCTTTATAAAATATTGTAAGGTTATATAGATTGCTTTTGAAGTATCTTAAGGGAGACAACTCAAAACTATAACATTATCTGTTTAAAGCATTATTCTGCTCTTTAAAGGAATACTTGGTTCCTCAGAAAAAGAATGTGGTCAAAAAAATTATCTGATACATGTAATTGAAACAATATCAATAAAAACCAAGTTGTTAGAATGCACAAACCAATTCACTGTGCAAAAATGTCTAATAATCAGAACTGTGGTTATTCGCTTGTTGTGTGTCAGTGTTACATAGTCCATCACCTCTACTTTCTATAAGCTTAACTTTCAAATACATGTCCAAGAAAAATAAAAATTCTTATTTAGATACATATTTCATAAAAAAAAAAAAAAAAAAAAATCTTCAAAAACAAGGAAGGTCTCAAGTATAGGAACCTCTTTCAAAAAATGTTTTTTCAGAGATTTCTTCTTGACATTGTATTTTTGTAGCATGATGCAAAGTCCTTTATATTGATATTGTTTCAAGTACTATGCTACTTTTGTAGCGTGATGCAAAGTCTTTATATAACAATTTATCCTGTTAATGTCCTATTTGGAGCATATGTTACATAATTTCAATTTATTTCATTTTGAGTAATTAACAGTAAGCTGGTCTAAGACCTTTTTTTTTTTAGAAAAATTAGACTGTCTCTTAACATGCACAAAACTTCATTTATTTCAAGCGGCATAATAATTTCAATCAAATGAGTATGTAGACTGACAATATATTTGCCACATACAAATGACAGGCAGCATAATACCAACCGATATAGGATTGCTCTCAGACAAAGAATAGCCAGATTTTTTTCAAAGCATGATAGAAAGACTTGACAAATAAAAAGTGTAGGTACTGCTGAAAACACATAATCAACAGTGCTTGGTGAAGACTCATAGCCTGACCTGTTTCAGCCCTTCATGGACCTTCTTCAGACGTACACAATGGATTGATAGTAGCACTCTATTTATATAGTGTCTGTAAAATGATGGAAAGTCTTACCTGTAGTTGCTGGCAGGAACAGATGGGTCTAACAGTTCTGATTCCATTATCACTTCCTATTTTGAAAATCGGCAAACCAAGGTCCTTTATCAGTGGTTACAATTTACGAGTCAATAATCACTTTCAGTATGTAGCTGATATTCTTGTCTTAAGAAAGAAATTTTCATTGAAGTTTTCATAATCTGAAAAATAAGAGAAGATAATTAAATTTTAAACTTAAAATTCATGAAAGAAGACCTAAAATACCTTTGAAAACATGGTCTTTAATTAAATTGAAAGTGGGTTTAGAAACAACTTTCAATAACTGAGAGTAATCTTAAATCTGTAATTTGCATCTTTTTGTTTTTTTGTTAGTGATTAGGACCAATCTGATGAGTCAAGCCCTTTTAAATTGATTTATATAGTTATTCCAATGTCAAAGACTAAGACAGGACTGAGCACTAACAAATATTTTAACTCTGAAACATTCTTTATGTACCTGTCCGTAACCAGAAGTCTGTAGTAAAGTGGGTTTTGTTGGTTGCTATCTGTCATAATAGTTTTTTTTAATGCTATTAATTCAAACCAGGCAGTTAATTTTATCTTTTAAATTGTTTTCCTGTGATTTTCCTAGTTTACTATTTGGTATGGGTTTTCTCATTGTAGAAGATTGTATAGTGATCTGTAAATGTTTAAATCATTGTCCTGTGGTTTTTGGTGGATATCTGTCTCATTATTTTTTACAGGATACTGCTGTATTTTTCAAAGGTTAATAGTGTTTTACTTTCACAACATATGGTCTAGCTAGTCAACTGAGTCCAGGTTTATGTGCATGTAAAACTGGTTTAATCCCATCACATTTTGTGTCTGTATTAAGTCAGGCTATCTGGACCATGTGTTGTCCATTGTTGTTTGTCTCCACTTGTCAATCTATTTTTTAGGAAAAGCCTGTTGTTGGTGTGGTCTGATAAACTTTCCAATATTTTTTGTAACTTCTGTTATCCTATTTATGCATTACTTCCCCCACATTGCAAATGTCTTTATAGGAAGACGAAAAAAGGCACTGAACCAGCAAATCTCATGAAAAGGGAGATAAATCTTAAAAATAAAAAAAAGATAATACTGAATCTTTAAATGTATGATATATTTATTTAGAAACAATTGCTCCTATATTTTACACAAAGAATGAATGTATTTCAGAATTTTCTTTACAGATAAAAATCAAGAACTTCTATATAAAGAGGAAAACTGTTATTTGAATTTCTCTGAGACTTAAATAAAGAGCATATGTAGTCTCAAAGAAATATTACAATACAAATTGACAGAAGTGAATTAATGCAAAAACAACTTGCCAACCCTATGCTAAAATGTGGACATGAAATGTAAATCATATAATATGCTAACTGATTGGTCACAGTTTATATGTATTTTATACTACTTATACCATAACCTTAATACTGGGGTCAGTTTTATTGATGGTTTTACCCATAGTGCCTGTCGTGTAGCACATACCTTAAGCATGTTCACTGACACCTGTATTGTATATTGGAAGATAAAGGGTATCCTGATATCATTTGGAAAGTTTGGAAAAAAGCTAAAAAGCTATTAGTATTTAAAATGGGACAAAAATCATTACTATAATTAGCAACATTGATACATTGGATTTCACATTTAACCTTTTTAGGTACTTCTATTTTGGTTCAGTCTACTATAACTTCAGTGTTAAAAGTTTTAAGTCTTATTTCATTGGTGGGCATAATAGCAACATAAAAGTTTGTACATGTATTTACACGTTTCAAAATGTCACAAATTTGAATAGACTTTTTTCATATTACCAACTTTTGTCTTCAGTAAATATATAATTTTTCATCAGGTTTAAACCACTCTGTGGTATAACATTCTGGTACTCAGTCAAGCGAGAGCAAATAAAAGAAGTAAAATCAAGCTTACAATTGATGCAATTTGTGGAAAAATTAACTGTTCATGTTTTCTACACACAACAAAATATTCAGAAAATAGTTGATTTTTTCCAAAATTTTGTACTGATCTTAAGCTTGATTTTACTTCTTTCAGTTGCTCTTGCTTGACAGAGTACCAGAATGTTCTACCACATACTAGGTAACCTGTCAAAAAACTATGTAGTCAAAATTCAGTAATATGAAAATAGTTTATTGGTAATCTAGATCTGTAAGTGTGGATGAAATTTATAAGAATTATAAGTATTAAAGGGTAAATTAGCTATGCCTATTGATGTGTTAACTTGGCCTTTCACTAACAAACTTAACATATAAAGAAAGTCCTTTGAACTGCATTCAGTTTATGAGCTTCTCCGCCGTGCTTGCACTTCAGTAGACTCCTTCAATATCAACCTTTTATTAATGATATATATATATATATATGCTCCTGTATGATAATCATTTATAAAACATAAAAACAACCATTACTTTCTGCTACATTTCACTATTTGTTTTGAAGTGGTAAATTATCTCTCTTCAAGTCTAGACATATTTTTTTTTTTTACCATTTATAAAAGATATGGTGTTTTTACTAAGATCTTCAATGATGACATCAATATATTTGCTGTTCTATGAATTCATCGTTCCAAGGGCATAAAAAATGGCAGCAATTTCTAATAATGTCGCACAAAAAGCTCGTCAGTGGTTGTTTTATGTCATAATTTTATCTTAACTTTTTTTGTTATTTGGAGAATTTGATGGAGATGGCAGATCTGTTTAAAATAGACTGAGAAGAATTTAGAGCTTGACAAATTGTAAGTGTGACCTGTCTACTGTTCAATTAGATTGTATGTTGCCCATCTAGATGTCATTTATTTTTTTGTCGTTGGGTTGCTGCATAATTGACATATACTCTGCATTTCCTTATACATACATATTTCACAGATCTTCAGAAAACTATAACACCATCTGACAATATGTTATTCAATTAATTGTAAAACAATCCAATTATATCATTGCAACATATCTAAACTGAAAGTTTCCCTACTAGATGCAGTAATCAAATCTATATTTATCTCACAAGTTCACATGTAACTTTACCCAGTGTTCTCTGATTAAACAGACTATCTTCTTTGCTGTTTACTGATTGTTTTGGATTGTAGTCATCTGCATAACTGTTGTCAGCACTGAAAATTAAAAATATGTTTCATACTAATACACCAACTTCATTTCTTGAACTTTATTATTGACCTCAATTCTGCATCCATTGTTTTAACCTCTGCAAAGCAAATCTCACATCTGTAACATAATATTGTATAAAGTTAATATACTGTTAACACAGAGATATGTCTCGGCTGCTTGTTATTTTGATAATGCAAATGTTGAAATTAAAATAGCAATACTTTAACATGTAAGTTATGCAAATATTCAAAGTCAATGAACCATGACTGAAGGTACAGGGCTAAACAATCTCAATGGAAATGAGATGTGCCAATGCTAATACAACTGCAAACCAAATACCATTGACTTTTCATAAGTCATTCCCTTTAAACAAACCTAAACACAAACATTAACTTGTAAACTATGTAAAAGTTTCAAAGTCAATGAACCATAATTAGGGGGTGGGGTTATATAATCTCCATGGAAATGAAACTTGCAAAATCCAATACATTTGCATACCGAATATCATTGACTTAACATTAGTGGTTCATCTTAAACTGACCTAATCACAAACTAATACATATAAACTAAGCAAAAGTTTCAAAGTCAATAGACCATGACTGAGGGGTAAGGACCAAATATTCTCCATGGAAATGAGATGTGCTAATGCTTATACAACTGAATTCCAATTATCATTGACCTACCACTAACGGTTCCCCTTAAACTGACCTAATCCCAAACTAATACATGAAAACTAAGCAAAAGTTTCAAAGTCAATAGACCATGAATGAGGGGGCAGGACCAAATAGTCTCCAGGGAAATGAGATATGCCAATGCTTATACAACTGCATACCAAATATCATTGACCTACTATATAAAAGTTTCAAAGTCAATGAACCATAATTAGGGGGTGGGGTTATATAATCTCCATGGAAATGAAACTTGCAAAATCCAATACATTTGCATACCGAATATCATTGACTTAACATTAGTGGTTCATCTTAAACTGACCTAATCCCAAACTAATACATGTAAACTAAGCAAAGTTTCAAAGTCAATAGACCTTGACTGAGGTGGCAGGGCCAAATAATCTCCATAGTAATGAGATGTGCCAATGCTAATACAACTGTATACCAAATATCATTGACCTACCACTAGTGGTTCACCATGAACTAGACCTAATCACAAACTAATACATTGTTGAAGCCGCCGCCATCGCCGCTGACGCCGAAAACAGCATACCTATGTCTCGCTTTTTGACTCCGTCAAGGCCAGACAAAAATGACAGTAAAACATTTTGTTTCCTTGAATGATGGTCAAATTCAAAACTAGTGTATAAGTCCTGCATGCTAACAGCAATATTTGAATATCAACTTAGTTATTCTGAATTAATACTTTGCAGCTTGTGATATGATTGACTGATTTGGTTGCTAAATATCTCATTTCAATTCAAGATGACAATGGATCTATGAAACAGAAGTTAAAGTCAAACAACATCACAATTGTCAAATGTACTCCTTATAATGACTGTACATAACAATTGTCAAATGTACTCCTTATAATGACTGTACATAACAATTGTCAAATGTACTCCTTATAATGACTGTACATAACAATTGTCAAATGTACTCCTTATAATGACTGTACATAACAATTGTCAAATGTACTCCTTATAAGGCATGTACACAACAATTGTCAAATGTACTCCTTATAATGACTGAACATAACAATTGTCAAATGTACTCCTTATAATGACTGTACATAACAATTGTCAAATGTACTCCTTATAATGACTGTACATAACAATTGTCAAATGTACTCCTTATAAGGCATGTACATAACAATTGTCAAATGTACTCCTTATAAGGCATGTACATAACAATTGTCAAATGTACTCCTTATAATGACTGTACATAACAATTGTCAAATGTACTCCTTATAATGACTGTACATAACAATTGCCAAATGTACTCCTTATAATGACTGTACATAACAATTGTCAAATGTACTCCTTATAATGACTGTACATAACAATTGTCAAATGTACTCCTTATAAGGCATGTACATAACAATTGTCAAATGTACTCCTTATAAGGCAGGTACATAACAATTGTCAAATGTACTCCTTATAATGCATGTACATAACAATTGTCAGATGTACTCCTTATAATGACTGTACATAACAATTGTCAAATGTATTCCTTATCAGGCATGTACATAACAATTGTCAAATGTACTCCTTATAATGAATGTACATAACAATTGTCAAATATACTCCTTATAAGGCATGTACATAACAATTGTCAAATGTACTCCTTATAATGACTGTACATAACAATTGTCAAATGTACTCCTTATAATGACTGTACATAACAATTGTCAAATGTACTCCTTATAATGACTGTACATAACAATTATTGTTGACTTACACAAAGTTACTGAGAAACAGTCCTAATACAAACCACAGTGCATACACTGAATGGTCTCACCTTCTTTACTGATTACGACTAAATATGTAAAATCTTTGAGATTAATTTCTTATGCACCCAGTCTTGCTCCTTTTGAGGTTCATGTGATTCCCTCAGTGTTTGTATGGTTCATTGATTTGTATCTTGGATTTATGAGACATCAGTAAACATCTGCTTCCTCTAACTTAAATTCCTACAGATATCACAAAATTAATACAGGTATTGATCATAAACCACCAAAAGAAGGTCGAAGTTGGAAGAACCACGCTAGACAGACATGTACATCTTAAAATCATTATATACAACAAAAATAGTTGAAAAGTTACCAATAATCTAGTGAAAAATATAAAAAAAAACCATACACATGAAAATGAGGTCAAAGTCAAGTGAATCATATCAGATGGACATGTACACATTAAAATGATTCCACAGACCAAGGTTTCTACAACATGTATTGTAAGTAAGTTACATTATACATGTACCATACATCTAATATTTAACATTCCAGGGGAGAAAACTCCTAGTAAATGTTATCGCACTGCTTCAAAGAAAAAATTCCTGTTAGCATAGATCGAAACTAACAATTTAGTTTATTTTTTTTTCTCGATATACATATATATAGTTTCTTAGGAGTAGCACGCACAAGCAAAACCAAAAAATTAAAACATGACCTTGACCTCATTTTCTTTTTGGTAGACCCAGGACCTCAAATCAAAAGACTATAGATCTCTATCACTTATGGTTTATGAGTAACTATTACATTTCACTTATGTCCTATACATAAAGAGAAATAACTCTCATATCCAATCTTCATATCTCTTCGATCAAAATTATTCTCGACAACCTGAGGATATAAAGAGCAATTTGGTGAAATAATTTTGTCGTAGTCTTTTACGATTGCGAAGGATTAGTACACACAAGAATAACAGTGTTCAGGGAGATAACTCTTACAAGGGAAAGTGTTCAGTTAGGCAGTGTCCGTTTCAAAAGCGTATAAAATGTTCGATATAATATATACAAAGTATCTAAGCAACATCTTTCGAGAATAACAATACAGTGCATGAAAAAAATAAGGCGGAAGAAAAAGAAAAAATCAGATCAAATCCTAAAGGTCTTTGGAAAGACCTAATAAAGGCAGCTGAAAACAAGGTATGGATTATCCAGCTTTTCAACCTTCTGAAATTAACTGAATGTGTCATTCAACACCAACAAAAAAAACCAACAAATCAATTATATTTTGTCAATCATCTTCAATTTTAACTGGCTTCCAAAATTCAAGAGCAAAAACCCAGCTTATTTAATGAGTCTAAGCAGAAGATCACATGATATCCTAGAATTGATGCTTCATCTTTTCGTAAATTGTCTAACATAAGATAATTATTAATCATAAAAAAGACATGATTGGTACCCTAATAGCCAAACTGCTTACTACTTCTAAGAGTTATGTTTTTGGTCAGGCTTGTGTTGTACAATCTTTAGTTTTCTGTATAGTGTTTTGTGCACTGTTGTGTCGTCTCTTTTCTTTAACCATGGTGTTTGTTATCTGTCCTTTGACTCATGATTTTTGTATTAACCCATTAGTAAAGTTTTACTTTTTTATAAACAAATCTCACTGAGACTTCCATGTTCAATAAACTCAAGAAATGAAATGGTTGCTTGCAAGACCTGATTAACTGATACAGAATGTTCAATATACTGTAATCTGACTTTCCAAAATACAAATTAGAGTTATCTCCCTTTGAACTTTTAGACACTACGTTACAAGTAAATGTACCAAGAAAAACTGATTGTGTGTTACATTAAAATCATCCTGTAATCTTCATACTTAGTGACTGACGTAAAACATGATGCTGCAATTCTACATAAAACAAACCAAAAAAAGACTTCATTTAAACACAGCTAATCTGAAAAAAAATTACAACATTCTTTTTGTGGATTGATACAGGTTTTCATTGTATTGTAACTTTTTTTTATTATGGATGTGCTGTAGATTGAGATGAGATCTTTGAAATCAAACCTAGGTAACTGTGGTTGATTTGCAGTAAAGCAGAATCAAAATTTGGAATCTGGATGAAATGTTCTAACATCTTCAAGATTTTTAAAAACTTTTATTCCTAGCAATAAAATTGTCAAATAGGATATATTTGAGAGCTCTCAAAATGTGCATTTTAAAAATAAGTCAGCAGTATTAATTCATTTGCATTTTGAAATAAATACACAAAAAGGATATGTTCTGCTTATTTAAGAGATGACTACAAAAATCCTGAAAATGGTTTTCCTAAAAAATTCTCTCATATTTTGCAGTAAAATCACTTTCCAACATATGAAAAATTTCAAAAATGTCTACCTCCATATTCCAAAGGCACTAAAAGCCAACAATTCTGACAAAGATAAATACTTGTCTTTTGTGTCCTTTCACTTTTCACTCTTGTGACTTATTCGATGAGTTTTTTTTTTTGGTCGAAGATGTAAATTTTTTCAATTAATGGTTATTTCTGAGTAGCTTTAAATTTGGAAATATTTGCTGCATGCTCTATCTAAAATGATTTTTGTGATGG